AACGAACAACACACACTCTCTCTCTCTCTCTCTCCTCTCTCTCTCTCTCTCTCTCTCTCTCTCTCCCTCTCCCTCTCTCTCTCTCTCCTGTTCACTATTAATTCGAGTATTTTTTTAACCCCCTCTCCTTTGGATATATTAGACATTGAAAAGATGGTGTCTGTGAAAGGGATGATCATCCGCTGTAGCTCCATAATACCAGAAATCAAGGAGGCATGTTTCAGATGCCTTATATGTGGCCACTTCTCCGATCTTATCCCTATTGATAGAGGTAATCTTATTGACTGTGTGTGTGAGTGTGTCTTTGACAGCTCCTTTTTCAGTTCCTATATATAATATGCACCCTTATCTCGGAATATACCATAGGCCGAATCAATGAGCCCCCGAGATGTGCAAGGGAAGAATGTTTGGCCATGAATTCTATGACTTTGGTCCACAATCGATGCAGGTATATCTTTTGCATCTTTTGTTTTTCCTTTAATATCTTTGGATTTCATGGAAAGTTGGGAAAATGTTCTGATGATGATCTTTGGAATCAGTTTTCATCTTGCTTTTGACAAATATATTTTGTAAACCAGTTTTATTTTTCTGGTAACTATATCTTTCTAATCAGCTTCTTTCTCGATTTCTTTTGTTTTTATGTCAGCCTAACTTCTAGTTTTGTTGGCAGGTTTGCAGACAAGCAGATTGTGAGGCTTCAGGAGACTCCAGATGCAATTCCAGAAGGAGGTACTCCACACACAGTTAGTTTGCTCATGCATGACAAGCTTGTTGATGCTGGAAAGCCTGGTGATAGAGTTGAGGTGAGGATGTATCTTGATTCCTTCTTGTCTTACCTTGGATATCGCTTACCCATTGTACATTACCATGTATGAATACTGGGTCCTGCATGTAAAGGCAGCCTAGATTAATAGTATGTATAGATGTAAATATCATAAAATAGAAACCCTGTTTGGTTAACAAAAAGCAAAGAGATGTGATTGAATATTGTATATAATGCATGAGTTCACCATGTTCCCTTGGAATTGTTATGTGAATTATGCCAAAATAAGGTTTGGCTATTGTTTATCCATTTGATATAGCTTTTATTTTGTCATAGTTTTCCATTCATGCTAGTGACTGTTTGTTTTTGCGTTCTTTCCACAGGTCACAGGAATTTATAGGGCCATGAGTGTCAGAGTAGGATCAACACAAAGGACAGTTAAATCTTTATTTAAGGTCTATTCAGCTGTTTCTCATACTTTAATGGTCACTTTTGGGGTATTGAAATGAATTGTGAAATCATTCCTTCATTGTTTTTTGTTGAAACTAATTGAATTTAGTTGTATTTATTGGTGTGATGATACGGCAGACATACATCGACTGCCTTCATCTCAAGAAGACAGACAAGTCAAGGATGCAAGCAGAGGACCCTATGGAGCAAGATGTTAACGGTGTTGATGCAGCTTCATCTAGAGGTTTTGTTGATGATATACCTCTTGATTATGAAGATAAGGTGCTTTCCACCATCTTGGCTTCAATACAACTAGATTAATGGAATGCTTTCCAAGATAATGGAAATCTAAAACTGGAAAAATTTGTGAGAAAAGGTGTACCAAAAGAAGTAAAATAATAGATGATAAACGATACAATAGCACAGAGAATTTCAGAGAATTGAGAGAAACTAAATTGAGTAGCTATGGAAATTAAAATCATGAAGTAACAGAAAAGTGAAGAGAATGGATGAAAAGAAAGGAACTAAATTAGAACAACAGAATGAGAAGTTTGTATGAAATATTGAACCAACAAACATTTCAATGGAAGAAGGGCAACCAAATTGTTTCGTTTTGTGTGGAGAGAGAGAGAGAGAGAGAGAGCAACCGTTTCACTTGTACACATGTACCCTGAGGGAGAGAGCAACAGTTTCACATGTACGTATACACCCCTGCCCTGCCACCTGCAGTAATGCATGGATGTGGTAGACATATGTACAAATATATGGGATCCTCCAACCAAAATGATTCTATAATTTATTTTAGTTTTATTTGTATAGGTGATTGAGGTGGAATTTGGACAGAAAAATGTGCCCATAAGTAATTGTTTCTCAGACCAAATTTTTTTGTAGGATTACTTTTATTTCTAATCCATCATGTTAATCAAATTTGATTACTTAAAAGAGGATTACTTTTATTTCTCGTCCATCATGTTAATCAAATTTTATTACATAAAAGCAGGTTGCAACTTGGTTCATTTCCATATAATTATCTCTTTTGAGTTTGCTTTGACTGGTTTTCTTCCTCATAATCTAGGTAGAACAATTGAAAGAACTGTCCAAGCAGCCCGACATATATGATAGGCTATCCAGGTCACTAGCACCAAGTATTTGGGAGCTTGAAGATGTAAAGAAAGGTCTTCTTTGTCAGGTTTCACCTTCATGTCATAGCTTTTCATTAAAAATGGTTTGTTTTATTTCTCATAATTTGGATGATTATGTTTATAGCATACGTTCCTTATATTTGATGTCACAGCTATTCGGTGGGCACGCTCTGAAGCTGCCATCTGGGGCTAATTTTCGTGGTGACATCAACATCTTGCTTGTTGGTGATCCTGGTACTAGTAAATCTCAACTTCTCCAGTACATACACAAATTATCTCCTCGAGGAATTTACACTAGTGGGAGAGGGAGCTCTGCTGTGGGCTTGACTGCATATGTCTCCAAGGACCCAGAAACCGGAGAAACAGTATGTTTTTGCATTCATATGCACTTGAACCTTAAAGTCACATTTTAGATCTTTTTACAGTGGCAATCGTATTCATATTATAAAATAATAAATATAGGTTGTACTTTGCCCCTCCACTTTATAGGGGAATTTCCTAACTCTTAAGATTAATCTCCTTGTGCTTTCCATAAACCAGAAGACCTTATCCCATTCCTTCAATATAATTTCCTATATCTCTCTGACCTGTCAATTTTAGCTACCAATAAAAAAATAGCTGCCTAATGTTTTTTTAGTTGCATTTAATGTTTTTTTGTTGGTTTAGTTGGGTTATATATCCTTGGTGTAACTTTTATAAGGACATGACTGTGGCTAGATTTTAGATGAGAGTGCTTAGTAGTCCTCGGAAGACATGATATATAAAGAAAGAATTGGATTACTGGTGGCAAACAGCGGATGCCAGGATCCAGTTGAGTGTTTTAATCACATATAAAAAAGGGCCCTTCAGAGGGCATTAAAGCTACCATGAAAGTAACTTGTTTGCTAAGTACTTTTTAATGTTTTCATATTATGTATTGCATGCCTCGTTCTCTTCTGGTAGTACTTATTTTCTCTTTAGTACTGGTATATGAGAAAATTTTGGACTCTCGGAGTCTTTGAGCAGTTGAATAATCTGCAAACATTTGCGATTCTTTGATAATTTGCAGGTCCTTGAAAGTGGAGCTTTGGTTTTGAGTGATAAAGGCATTTGCTGTATTGATGAGTTTGATAAGATGTCTGATAGCGCAAGAAGCATGTTGCATGAGGTCATCCTCTAGCTTAGCTGACCAAGTTTCTCTCTTAATTGTTGTCACTTGCAACAGTTTTGTTTTTTCATTTTCTCTTCTTATTTTTTTCAGTTATGCTTGCTGATCCAAATTTTTGCCATGTTTTATTTATTTCTTCATATTTCTTCTTTAGTTTTAGGTAGGGGATTGTGATCATTATTGTGGTCCATTTTCTGGTTTGGTTTCAGGTGATGGAACAACAAACAGTGTCCATCGCAAAAGCAGGTATTATTGCTTCCCTTAATGCTCGGACTTCTGTCTTAGCATGCGCCAACCCCAGTGGGTCACGTTACAATCCTCGATTATCAGTGATTGAAAATATCCACCTCCCTCCGACTTTGTTATCAAGGTAATTCATTAGAATCATTGACCCCCCCCCCCTCCTCTCTCTCTCTTTTATACCTAAAAACTGCCTTGAAACATGCATTACCTTTTCTAAAATCGCCTTTCTAATTTATTGGATTACATATCAGGTTTGATCTGATTTACTTGATCCTGGACAAGGCCGATGAGCGGACTGATAAACGCCTGGCAAGGCATATTGTGGCCTTGCACTATGAAAACCCTGAGGTAAAAGAGTTCCTCTTTTCTTCATTATACCTACTATTCAAAAACTACAACTCTCATTGTGCAAAAGCAAAAACTATTGAGGGAAAAAGAATCTCTAAGGTAATGTGCCAAATCATAAATTGTGCATGTGTAAAGCACTAAATATTAAATAATAATGTAGAGCTTGAGGACCCAGGTAACAATGAGGAAAAAATATGGGCAATTGAATTCAAACACTCAAGAATTCTCAAATATGAGGGGAGAAAAGGCATCTAAATTGTGCAGATAGATAGGCATGACTGATATTAGTTTTACTATTATCCAGACCCAATTGCAAGATGCTCTAGACTTGCCCACTTTGACTGCTTATGTTAGCTACGCTAGAAGGCACATACATCCCCAGATTACTGATGAAGCTGCTGATGATTTGATAACGGGCTATGTCGAGATGAGGAGAAGGGGTAACTTCCCAGGAAGCAGTAAAAAGGTATCGTTTTCTCTTTCTAATCTTCCATGCTCCTTTGACTTATCTATTAGATAGACTGAGATAAGGATTCTTGTTAGCAGGTGATAACAGCTACTCCTAGGCAAATAGAGAGTGTGATTCGTCTCAGTGAAGCCCTGGCTCGGATGCGTTTCTCTGAGTGGGTAGGCATAGACATGTTTTTGTTTTGTGCAGAAATGATGTGTGTGGGAGTGTGTGAGTGTGTGTGAGAGAGAGAGAGAGAGAGAGAGAGAGAGAGAGAGAGATACAGAACTTAATGAACAAATCTGTTTTTCTGTTTTCAGGTTGAGAAACGGGAAGTGGCAGAAGCATTCAGACTTTTGAAAGTTGCTCTTCAACAATCTGCTACTGATAATGCAACTGGTTTGTTACTGTTTCAATCTGTGTATGATTGCTTGTTGGTTTTTGATATTAATGTCTAAGAACATTAGTTAGAAAAAGAAAACTAAGGATGTTAGTGGTGCAATAGGGACAATTGACATGGATCTCATCACGACGGGAGTTTCTGCAAGTGAAAGAATAAGGAGAGAGAATATTCTAACTGCCACCCGGAATCTCATTATGGAGAAGATGCAAGTTGGGGGTTCCCCAACTCGAGTGACAGAGGTCGGTCTCTCTCTCTCTTTCTCTCTCTCTCACACACTCACACATGGTCTAATTGTTTTGCTTTCATGGAAAATTCTGCAGTTGTTGGAAGACATGAGGAAACAGAGCTCCATGGAAGTCCATGTTAATGATGTAAGTATGGCCTAACCTATGTGCTTTCTTTTGCGGATGTGCTTAAGCTAGTGAGTAGGCCCAATAAGCTGAATGATCCTGAATTTTGAGTATGGAATGTTCTGCTTGTTTCTGGAATTCCCAGATCCGCAATGCACTTATGAGTCTAGCGTCTGAAGGCTTTGTTATGTTCCATGGTGAAACTGTCAAGAGAATCTGAGTACATGACCTGTTTTACGTGGGCTAAGTTGATCACTTTGGGAAGGTTATTTCTCTCTCTCTCTTTCCTCTCTCACACACTCTTTTCTCTCTCTTGGCTGGGCAATTAACCATAAACAAACACAAAACTTGATATGTTCTGAGGATTCATTCTTTTTCTTTCATGCATTTATTCATCTTGTATATTTTGACAGGGGTATACTGTAGTGAGTACCGAGAAGCATGCTGAAGAGCATTTGCAAAAACAGAATCAGACGCTGCAATAAGATGCAAAGGAGGGCTGAGAAGCACTAGTTCTGATATTAGTAGAAGGCTTGCCACTCCCATTAGAGATGCTGGTTGCAACCATGTTCATGAAAGTCTTGTGAGAAATTTCAAGCTATTATGGGGTAGAATATTTACAAAGAAATATACTAATTGGTAGTTTTATTCTGACCATTGTTAGAAATTCTGAATATAAAGTTAATTGGGCAAAATGTTGGCCAGAACTAAATTTAGTGGCTCCTATCATTAATGTACCAAGAACTCATTTATCATATTTAAAAACTGAGGAATTTATCGAAAGGCACTCGTAACAAGCTATTACATCTTGCCTGTATTTTGAACTTAATTTCAAAAGATTATAGTTGATATAAATTATCACGTCAAAAGGATACCAATCTAGAATTTCTATAAGGGGAACTATCCCTTCCCAGTGTAAGTGGTTCTAAGGACGTAGGCCTCGATGCTTTATCTTTTTATAAACTCAATAGATTGGTATGCTCCAAACTGTGCATTTGCTCTGTGCAATACCCTAGCTTGGAGTATTTTTGGGATCTCAAATTTTGGGAACGTTGACCTACTCATCCTTATGATTAACCTAGAAAAAAAAAAACTCTTACTCTGGAACTTCATGAAAAAACAACTTAATCGAGGTACTTAGCAACTCCAAATATGTTATCTTTGTTATGAAAGGGGTCAAATCATTTCTTGATTGGGGAAATGATTTTTCACCCTATAGAAGTATATTAGATGAGGAAATCATGATATTCTACGATTGGTGTCAAAATTGAAGAAGTTTCTTCTTGTCTTGAGTATTTTTTTATAAATTTCACTGAAATATAGATTAGTACCTAAATACCTAGGTTTAGATATATAATGTGCAATTTTGGGTGTGATTTTTTTCATGATCTTCCAAGGTATATTTTGAAGCTTTTTTTTTTTCCCCCCTTTTTTAGGTTTGTCGCTAGGTGAATGTTTTTCAACATTTGGGATTTTAGAAATACTCCTAGCTAGGTATTGATGGAGGGGGAATATACATTTTCACTCTAGTTGGATCATACTAATCTTTTAAGTGCATTAAACATGAAAGCTATGTGGTTTTGAAAGGGGTATAATTGAAAAGTGCCTCTCCTTGAAATTTTACTCATGATTGGTGTCTTTTGATATATATATTTAATTAAATATAGGCCTCGTACTGCAAACTCCCATTGAAAAAGGTTATTTTGATGTTGGAAAACCTTTTAATTTATCATTTGAACTTGAGATATATGAAAAGAAAAATGATTTCAAGTCTCGAAAAATAATGCATCTTGGAACATATTATCTGGACCATTTATTATTAAGAGTTTGTTTATTGATCCACTCGATCTACACTATTTTTTGAACTTTAAATGTCGTAGGACAACCTGATAGTAGATTTTCAGGCCATCTTAGGGCTTTTGGCCATGAGACTTTATCTTCTGGCATATTTTGGAGGTGTGCCTTACTTTCTTCAAGGATGATGCCTTGTATAAACCCCCAGCCTTCCTTCAAATTATAATTGCTCAACTTAGGTTTACTCTGTCAATTATTTCATTGCTCGAATTTCTCTATTGCTTCAAGTTTGAATAAGGAAAATTTACATGTCAAAGCAAAATTCAAGTTAAAGAGAAAAGATATGATCACACCTAACAATGCAAATGCGTACGTATTTTCATGCAAAACCAACAAAAAATGCACGTGGCAAATACTCTCAAATCAAAACAAAAACAAATACAAATACAAATACAAATAAAACTTATTCTTTATTTTGGTGTTAAGACGAAAACCAAAATAAACTAAATGAAACAAATAATATGGAGAAAGGATATAAAACGGTAAAAGGCAAATATAGAGACATAGATGCAACACAACGTAGACAAATGAGAAAAGTGACAGCCTAGTAAAGGGGCAAGCAAATGAGCAAACAGAGAAGCAAATGGTGTTATTGACGTAAGCTAACTTCAATTTTTGGTCCAACATTCAGGGATTTTGAGGCATTTTTTGGCCTCTATTGCTCGGGAAAATCGAAAATTCAGCTCATGGGACTTACATTGATAAGAATAGTGATTCCGACAACGGAGTGAAAAGTCATGGCTAAAATAACATTTCAAGGTTGTTTTGAAGTTGATGTTGTCTTATTTTATCGAGTGCTATTTTAATTAGGAGTTCTAAGTATGTTAGAATTAGAATTAAAGGGGTCCAATAAGATCTTTAAATATGGGTTGTATGTAGTAAGGTTTCATTTAGATTTATTATTTATTTATTTTTTAATATTGTTCTTAGGAATATTATTGACTTCACAAAGCTATTGGATTCACGCTTATTAGCTTCCATTAATTTCTGATCAATATATTCTTTATTTGATTTCCTTTTTTCTTTTTCCTTTTTCAAGTTTACAGCCATTATGAATTTCACACAATGGGCCAACAAGATCACAATTATCATAAGGTGATGATACAATGGTTTCCAGCGATGCCAATGAAACTGGAATCGGAAAATTGAGATTGTTTGTCTATTGTTGTGAAAATTGTATCGGGCCTAGAAATGAATATGAACAAAACAATACCGGTGGGAGTGGCATGTGATGAAGATGCGGTGCATGGTAGGGCAAGATTGATGGAATATGGAGCTAAAACCCTTTCAATAAAGTACCGGGCCTTCCCTTATAAGAAGGCAGACTACCTAAACCTCTGTGGGATCCAATGGTCAATAGGTTGAATTCCGAGCTTGATTTATGAAAGTCTAAGTATCTATCACCAGGTGGTGGATTCACACTATTGAAATCTATATTATCTACATTCCATTGTATTTATGTTTTGTTGTTGAGGATATCTAATGATATCACCAAGAGTCTTGAAAACTCGACAAACAAATTTTACAGGGAAGAATTATGAAAGAAAGAAAGTATCATGTATTGAGCTGGCACAAATATGCACACCAGCAAAAAAAGAAGATGTTTAGGAGTTTGTTGTTCAGAAATTATGAATATAGCTCGGATGACCCGACGGTGATGGTAAAGTGTGAAGGAGGAAGACCAGTTGTTTGCAGAAGTTGTGGAAGGTAAAGATCGAAGTGACGAAGTGCAAGAAATCCAATTAATTTGAAGAAATAGCAACTCATGCAGATTTAGAATGGGGTTAGGGGCTGCAAATCGTTGCTCTAAAGAAACACAATATTACGATCAATAAGGGAGACAACACTAATTTCTGGCACCAAAACTGGTTTGGTAATGGCCCATTGTAATTACAATTTTGATATTTATTCCTGGAAGTAGACCAACCATTCACCCATCACTTGTAGATACTATAAACTACCAGACAGCATTATTAATGAATTTGCTGAAATAATGGATGAATTATGAACATATTACTACACGCTGGAGATGAAAATGAGGTATGAAAGCCAGTGACGATTGTCAATGCTCTCCTCGGTATTATATCAACTTCTATTTCATGATGGAGCAAGATAGTCCCTTGTCTTAGCAGCAAAAGTTTAGAAATTATTAGCCCAAGACAAAGTTCAGGTGCTTGCTATTAACATTTTAAGGAGGGACGACATTGTCACCAGTATTTGGATCATGTGCGAAATGAAGAAACTAATGACCATCTATTCATACATGTGTTTTTGAGGAAAAGTTGTGGGAGCGGGCAATGCGGTTGCTAGACCTTCAACTTCATTTACCTAACCACGCTTCATAGATGTATGAATTACCCCAATGCTAACAAAGGAAAGGGAAGGTTACTCTGGAGGTGCATGAAGACAGCCCTGTTATGGCAAGTTGGCAACTGTGGTTGGAAAGAAAGAGGAAGTATTTTGATGGGGAACTTGCTTATCTTAACAACATCAAAAGCATGAACTTGAACTTGGAAACTATGGCAGAATGGGTCTCAATTCAAAATTAATTTTGCAGTCTTTCACGATTGGAAACAATGTATAAATGTAGTTAGATTGAAGAGAGAAATCAGAAATAAAATAGCAAACATGTGGAAGTCACCACCTCAAGGCATGGTTAATTGTAAATTGACTTTGATGGAAGTTCAAAACGGGAATCGAGGGCAAGCCGGTATAGGGGTACTCGTAAGATAACACAGTGGAATCACTTCTTTCAACTTTTCAGGACAAGCAGGTACATCCACGGCAAATAGTGCAGAAGTCCGAGAATCGGTTCATGCCCTTCACTTATCTGATGAAAGTCATAATCGAGGAATGGTAAATGCTATCAAATGATGCAAGGATACCAAGAAGCAAACAAGCTAGCTAGCTTAAGGATGGATGCTGATTCTTTGGTGGTACATAGGAACAATTAGCTGGACATAGCTTTGCTGCAATTTCTGATAATGCAGCGACTGAAAGTTGTAAAATCAAAGATTGGTGAATGAAAAGTTACAATAGGCTGAGAATTGCAATAATCAAGGGAAAAGTTTATATAAGGTTGTATTAATCCACAACATCCATTTCATTTGCATAGTGTAGATTAAATATTATCTTAAAAGAAGTGCCATCTATTGATATTGGTTTAATATATTTATCAAATCTTCACTGTCCTAATAAAATGGACTGTGTAGAGTATCGTAACCTCATTTCTACAAATAAGGTTGCAATCTTATACAAACTGCACTCTAATAACAATAATAATAAGGAAGTGTTTTCTCACTCACAAACATGTTCTTATCCAATGGAGAGGAAAAAATGTATAATCGAAAAAATATGGGGACTTGTACCCTCACTGAAGACATGGCCATAAATACAGCAGAATGGATAATCAAGATTCATGTAACTGATCCCAATTAATTGGAAAAAAGCTAGAGTGATGATATATATATTAAATTCATGATTATCATAGTGTAGATTATAGATCTCTACATATTTGGATCCAAGATCTATAACCAAAATAGGTGTTAGAGGGAATAGTGTGAGTCAGGGGACTCATAAATAATAATAACAAGGAAAAGTATACAAATAAGTCAATACAAGGAGATCATAATCACTCTTGTCCATCAAATTTTAAATCTAAGTGATTGTGAGTGTGTCATTGACTAGACTCAAAATTCAAAAAAAAAAAAAAAAGCCAACATTGAGACATAGCCTAAACCTTCCAATTTGACATTTGGGTGGCTAATAACAATTGTGACCCCAGTAACAAAGATAAATGGTATTATATTATATAATCCCTAACGATAATATAGAAAATGATTGTATGCCTCAAAGGATGCAATTTAAACCAGTGATCTAGATATTTCTTTCTTAAACTTATTATTTTTAGTTTTAAAATATTAATAATC